TTAATGCTGTTTCCAGGGAGCCTCTGCCCTTACAGACCAGAGAGCAGCACCGCTGGCCCTCACCCCTGGGCTTGGCTGCCAGCTTGGACACCGAACCGTCTCCTCCACCATTTTTGCTGGCATGGGTCCAACAGGAACTGACAGTCCACAGCCCATGTCCTAAATCTTCCTCCTTCTGGAAACAGGACGTTTTTCCCCACTCTCTGCTCATCCTCTCTCAGCTCCCACTCTGCCCAGCATGGAATGGCTGCTGCAGCTTTTGGCAAAGGAAACCTCTGGGCAGCAGCTCCAGAGGAGATACATCCAGCTGGGATCACTGCTCCCCTGCAGGAGCATCTCTCCAGAGCTCCCCTTGGCCAACCACTCACCACTCCTCTCTTCCCTCATGCCAGCTCGTCTTGCCTTGGAGAAAACCATTTATTTATAGCCATCCTGGCTGCCTTTAGCACATTTCGACAGCCCACGTCTTTGCCTCCCTGACGATGCACCCACAGCGTTTCTGTTCTCACCCTGCTGCTACGGCCATCCCTGCCTTCTCTCTCCTCCTCGCATCCCCCACCCAGCACTCCCAAAGGGGCTTAGAAACAGCTTCAGGAGGAGGTTTTAAAGGAAGGTGGGGAGAGAAGGGAGACAAGGCTACCAAACTCCTCTCCCATCGTTCCCTCATCCCTCTCAAGGGAGCAGAGAAACTCAAGAGCTTTGGTTCCGCCTCCCAAGGGAATCCAGGGGGAAAAGTGAGCTGAAGTGAGGTCTGCCAGCACCCACCCGGCTCCTGGTGTGCCGCAGGGCTGCACAGGGGCACCGGAGCTGAGCCAAGACACGTACAGCTGTGGGGCACTGGGGACCAGCGCCGGGCAGTGCAATAGCAGAGGGAGGTCACCTTCTTGCCTGGGTAATTTTCCTCGATAGAAGGAAAGATACATTTTTTCTCAGCTCTCCACCTCGCAGGAGACACACTTGTCCCCAGCGAGCTGTGGGGGGGACCTCAGCCCCCCCAAGCCCACGACGCTTTGTTCTTCCGTCCAGTGCTGACAGTTTAATTAAACCCAGTTTGAGATGGGGTCGCCGGGGTCAGGTGCTCTCCAGTGAAACCTCAGATCAGCACCATTTCCAGCCACCGGGACTGCTTAATGAGTTATCCACTCATTGCAGCGGATATAAATAAGGGAGAGTCCTCCTGCCTCCCGGCCAAGGCACGGGCACAGTTCCTCCCACCCCACCATCTCAGACCAAGACGGGCTCTGGGCAAGCATCAGCTCAATATTCCCAAATACTGAGGGGAAAACATTCCTTTCCAAGCGTCTCACCTCCCCCACTCCCTCATTTGAGGTTTCCTTTCCACTGGCCCTTTCCTGCCATTCCCCAGTTTATTTAAGCCCTGACGGATCAGGTTTAACTCCAACCTTTCCCATTATCCCGACGCACAAATGCTCTTTATAGTCAAGATCCGAGTAACTAATTGCAGCTTGAGCCAGGCTGGAAGACCACAGAGCACCACCAACGTGGATCAAGCTTTGACACTTGGACCCAGGAGGTGGACAAACAGCTCTCAATCCCAACCCCAGCCCGTGCTTGTGAGGTATTTCCATGGGGCTCAAGGTACAGTGGAAAACTGTTCTATGGGATCACAGACCCCACGTTAAACAGACTTGCCTTAACCTGCTGCCGTGTTACTGATGTGTTGTTGAAGATGCATCAAGACCAAGGCTAGAGGAGGCTGGAGCATCCAGGCCAGCACCCAGGTACCCATCTAAGCAACACCCACTGGTTCTTGCATCCACCCCTGGCTTCCTGCCTCAGCTGCCACTCACCTGCCAAACCTGGCAGCCTCATTTCTCACCTAAACAGATCTCAGCCCGACTTGTCCAGTCAGTTTCTGCTAATTCAAGACCTCCCAGTATCACAGCGTGAGAGCCCTGCTAGGACAGGAGGACCTAGCAGGTACTTCGGGAGCTTGAGGAGCTCACCATGGGTGGCCACGGCAGGCAGGGTGTGGGGAAGTCTGCACTAGTTGCTGAAAACGGTCTGGAGATCAGCATCTACAAGAGCACAGTACTGGTAAGAGCCCTCTCTTCCCATCCCCTTCCCTCCCATCCTGTCCCATCACGACAACCCAGCCTGCCTCTGGGGCAGGGAGGGGGCACAGAGCAGCGGGAGGGGAGGCCCCCCCCCCCAGATACATTTCAGCAGTTAAATAAGTGCAAAGCCTGGCGGAGAGGCTCCAATTTCAGTACAAGACGAGCTGATTTCCATTTAGCTTAAACCTGCTCCCCACTGACTCATATCCCTGTAGCCTGAGCCAGGTTTGCAGCAATTTAAGAGCATTCTTATGACCTCCCACACCAGTCAGACTAGCACCAGACCAGTTCCCACGTCCAGCTAAGCCAGTGTGATAGTGCATCCAGACAAGCTCTGCCCTGGGCATCCCCTGTCATGGCAGAGACGGCCAGAAAACAGTTTTAAGGCAAAGCAGGAGGAATAAGTTTCAAAACAAGCACCACATCACAGGAAGCAACAGGCAAAGGCTGAAATGCACCTGTACATGGAGTGGCTGCAAGGAGCATTTTGCACAGCCCTGCTCACCCACAGCAGTATGTGCACACCATGGGAGGGTACGTATGGCCCCGGCACATCCTGGCACAGACCCAGCTCCGCACGAGCCCGCGGGCTGCGGAGGGGCACACTGCACGGCCCACCTGGGCGGGGCCCTGCTGCATCTCCCCGGTGAATCGCTGGGGTTTGATTTTTGAAAGAGCCTGATATTAAAATCTAGAGAAGATTAAAAGGGAAACATTAATGTTCGTAAAATAATTCTCTCGACCGTGTTTCTGTTATGCAGCGGGTGGCTGGAGGAGGATGGGCCCTTGCTGGCGCCATGATAAGGCACAGCTGAGCTCAACAAATGCCATTTGATAATTAATTGAACGCCTGTGCTATCAGCTGCCATTACCTAGGCCCATCCTTGGCGCAGGTCCACCATTTCACACATCCCACGCTGGCAACCCACACAGCGTTTTAACCCTTCATTACACCGCCTCCGGCTGGACTCCAGGACTGACTCCCTGGCACTGTCGGAAGAAACCAGCATCACCTGCCTGCACAGGCAGGGCTACAGCCGTGCCTGTTCCTGGCAATGTCTCAGCCCATTCAGTTATTTCGTCCACTCCCACCCTGCCCCAGCAGGGACCTGGCATCCTCATTTGACAGCCGAGAAATGGAGATACAAGACGCAGTAAGCAGAGACCTCGTGTCCCGGCCACAACTGCCCTGCTCCTTCACACTGCGAATCAGCCACAGGGTGTGAGCATCTTCTCTGAGTGACAGAGTGCACCCAGCCCCAGCTCGGCATACACCCTTCTCCTCCTTACAGCTCCCTTCCCAATGTACGAGGTGCCTGACATAGCTGAGAGCTGGTAAACACTTTGTTAAGAGGATTTCCTGCAGTTTGAGCAATGCTGGCAGTGCTGATGGCACTGTTGCCTGAGCAAAGCAGCCCCGGGCAAGGGAAAGCCAATATGGAAAAGTGAATACTTATCAAATGCCAGCAGCCCTCCCCAGGCAGCCTGCTGCTGTACAGAGGGAAGAGGAGCAGAGGGGTGTGCAGAATTGGGGTTTGCACGACAGGAGACAGTCCCTGGGGGTGCTTCTGCAGGTGCAGAGGGTCAGGCAGAGACAGGGGCAGGCAGGGAGAAAAAAAAAGGGCTGGATCTGCCTCGGACAGGGCTTTTCACTTCTTCCCCAGGCTGCCTCAGACACCAGCAGAAAGGCAGCTGTAGAGCAGGGCCGTGGGGCTCTCCGGGCCCTGTGGAGGTCTCTGGGCAGAATGGGACCCCCTGGGGACATCCTCTTTCACCCTTCCTTCATGACAACCTGGTCCAGGGGGGTAAGGGCACCCCACTTCAGAGCCTGTGATCTGCACCCAGAGAGGAGGCCGCGGGGCTCACAGCACCTCTGCAGCCAGCATAGCCCAGCTCAGCCCAAACCACCAGCACCTCCTCCCACATCCCTGCACACTGCAAGGGCTTTTAACACCGTCTTTAACAGCACCGGTCTCAGAACTGCCACAAAGCTGATTCCCTGCCATGATGCATGCTCAGCTCGCCCAGAAACATGGTGCTTTCCCCTGCCACGCACTGGGTGCTCACTGGGACAAGAAACCAGCAACCTCCAGCCCAATTCCCCAAAGCAGCCCCCCCTAGGATGTCAGTCCCCTCCAAAACCTGCGGCAGCCCCGTGAGCGAGCCCACGCCACGGCTGGGG